TTATGTCGAAGGAATATCCGTTTGACGATAAAACGGCTTCTAATTTTGCCGATATTCAGAATTATTGGAATTTTTCCGCAGGTGCCACAAAAGAATTAGGCATGCTTGCGATCTGTTTATTCTCAATTTGTATTAATTCTGCATCATGTGAACGCTTATTTTCGACAATGGGCTTTTTTCACAATTCACGGCGCACCAGATTACCAGTAAATAAATTTATATTATCGTTATCGTTATATTTTAATATCGATATACTGATGCTAAAATTTTTACCCTTAGCTTGATAAAGTTTTTTCAATGGCACAAATGCGTGCTGAAATTAATTATAAACGCACAATTGAAGCAGCAAAATCTCTGGAGCAAAGCATATCAGCAAACATAAATACTATATTTGGTTCTGATAATCGTGAACACATACAAACAAATTATGATGAACAAGAAAGTTCTAGTGTTATAGAATTAGAAACTAACGCTAATAACGAAAATGCTGAAATGATTGTTGAAGATGATTCAGAATCAAGTGCAAATGAAGATATTAGTGATGAATGGAAAGCAGTTCTTAAAGAATGGTCTGAGAGTCTTGTTTTCGAAGAAGAAAGTGTAGAAGAACTAGAAAGTTTGTTTGAAACGGAAGAAACAGCGAATTTATCTTCAAATGAATTATTAGTAGGCTTGAAACATCCTGCAGAAGACCCCACAGGAAAATGGAAACTTGCCAATTTATTTGACTTCGAGTTTTCAACACCCTCATCTATAAAAAAACTGATGATAATTCAAGACAATTGATGCAATTTGTCTTAAAACTTCGCGGTTCTTCTTTTTTTCAGCTTAGTTGTTTTGTTCTAAGTGAAAAAAATTAAATAAACAAGTAATTTTGATTTGTAAGTAATCATTGATTAGTTTAGTATTCTATTTCAAATGATTTTTTAATTTAACTTCGTGGTAAGAATTAAGGCCGTCTTTCTTGATGTGAGTATAAAATTTTTTTCTTAGAATTATTTCATTTTAAAAATCATTGAATTAATATTTACTAATTGCATTAGGATAAGTAACGGTAAGTATAAAACTTTTTTGGAATTAGTTGTTTACAAGATTCAATATCCTCTAATAATTTCACACAATTTAATAAGGCATAAATTTAAATATGAAAGTGTAAACCATTGTAATAAGACCATTGACATTTAGTACTCAACGGGTGTATAAAATTTTATTACTTTTTCCACTATGCGTTTCGTAATA